TCTACACATCAACTCTTGCCCTCTTTGCTCCACACAACAGCCAGTACTCACTTATAAACATAAATCAGATCATGTCAATCCCTTGCTCAAAATCCTCCATAATGACTCTTTGGCTAGCTCGTTTCCTAGCCAGTATCAGCCCCCCATCCCATGCTCACTCCCACTGTGGGCCCCACTTCTTGGGAGAAGAAATGCGCAAGGCTGCAATCTACATTTCCCAGATTCCTTTGCAGTTAGGGACCACATGATACAGTTCTAACCAAGGAGGCATAAGGAGAAACCACCAGATAGGGATTCTGAAGAAGCCACTGTTTGTTTCCCTAAGAAAAGGGGAGACTGAAGTACTAGACATCTTTTGACTTTTGCTCTTCTCCTTTGTTTCCGCCTAGAAAGCAAATACACGAAGGTAGAGCAGGCATGCCAAAGATGTCAGGACAGGAAAGGAGAAGGCAGCTGCATCAGCCCTTGTATGCCCATCCTTGAATTCCTTGTTATGTGAGGAAAAATTACACCTTATTTGGTTAAGTTGCTGTGGTGGAGTTTCTACTACATGCAGCCAAATACAGTCCTGGCGCAGGCTTCCAACCACTCTTAGAATGAACTCCCAGAGTCTTACACAATCTCTCCAACAGCATTCCCTTCCATTCTCTCCCTTGGTGCACGACCATTCCTGCACTGGTGCCACTGGCCCTCTGGGCTGTTTTCGGAACATGCCAAGTCTGTTTCCGCCGTGGTGTCTTTGCCCTTGCTGTTATGCCGGTATGTTCTTCTCCTAGATCTTTCACATGGTTTGCAATGAATAAATATAAGTCACTAAAGAGTCGAAGAATGTGAAGGAGCCAATTTTGGATTATGAGTCAAGGCAAGACCTTGGTGCAGAGGTGACATTAAAGCAGAAAGCTGAGTGAAGACATAAATCACCGGATTTCAGACACCTGCACTGCCAGCAAACAAGCCCGAGGCATTATTATCCTTTTGATTTCTCCCAGATCTTCCAAATACAATGAGTGGTGAATCCTTTTAGCTACTAGTTTTTCCCTGACATTTCTAGACTGGTCCAGGGACATGATAAATCGTTCTCAGCATGGACAGTATCATGCCAGAGTGATAAAAGGCGTCAGATGCCTGGTAACAACCCCACCTCACCAGCTACTTGGCCTATTTGGGGTTACAGGGAGGAATAAAGGAGACTGGGGCCCCGCGATCCAACTCCTCCCTACGGAGGCCAGACTCGCGAGCTCCGCGGGGTTCCCCGCTCAGAAGCGAATCTGGATCCGAGTTTTTTGCTCCCCGCCCCCCTTGCTTCGCCGCCCTCCTCCCACCCGAAGGCCACTCCGCCCCCTAGGCAGCCAGCGGACCACGCCCTTTAGGCGCCAAGCGCCCAACCCCTTTCAGGAGCCCGCCCACTCCCGTCGGCCCCCGCGGGCTGCTCCCGTCTCCTTGGAAACGAAGCAGCCAACCGGCTCGGCGGCCTCTGCTCCGCCCTGACGACGGCGCGAGTCCCGGCTGCGCCTGGGTGGCCTCGGGCCGTCGTGCAGGCGGCGGATGGCGATGCTGAAGGCCAAGATCCTC